TCCTCCTCCTCCTCGCCCTCCTCCCTCCCCTCCTCCTCCTCCTCCCTCCTCCTCCTCCTCCTCCTCTCTCCTCCTCCCCTCGCCTCCTCCTCATCCTCCTCCTTCTGTTCTCCTCCCTCCCTCCCCCTTCCCCTCCTCCTCCTCCTCCTCCGCCCCTCCTCCTCCTCCTCCTCCTCCTTCCCTCCTCCTCCGCCTCCTCCTCTCTCTCCCCCTCCTCTTCTTATTGCTATGTTATTAGTGTTAGTATGATCATTAGTCATATTTTTTATTACTAGTATTTGTTTGGTATGATTATCATTGGCATTTTCTTGTTAGTGTTATTCTTATGTTTCCTAGTACTGCGCCGATCCGAAAGTTTCCCCAATTTCGCCACCGCGCCGGCCGCGGCCACCTGGAGTGGCGCGCGCGACAAGACTCGTGGGGCCCGAGGACGGATGGTGGCGATGTCGCGAGGGCAGCGTCGGCGCGCCGATGGGCAGCCCAGCGCCCCGTTTGGCCGGAGGGGCCCAGTACAATGCAAGGGCAGAGCCTAACCCCCGCCCGGGGTCGCAGGCTCGGGTTCCCCTTCCCACTTTAAAAAGTTTAAATCCCAAACGGTGTACTGACCCGAAAATGAGCAAACGGCATAGGACTTCCTCAAAAAAGAAGCTTTCGGGTTCGGTCATGCGCCGACCCGAGAAGTTTACCGGCCGACCTGACAGCGGCCAAATCCCATAGGATTTGTGCCCTACAGAAAAATCGGGTCCGGCTCGAACGACCCGAAAATGTGCAAACCGTTTAGGACCCCATGCAAAAACATCGTTCTCGAGGTCTTCGGGCCCGCTCCGAAGAAACCGAGCATGGGCAAACCGCCTAGAACTTCCTATCAAAAACGGTTTCTCTGTGGTTCCGGGCCTCGTCCTAAGGAGCCGCCGATGGGCAGACCGCTCAGGACTGCCTGCGCAAGACACTATGTCCCGGGTGAGCCATTGTCAACGGGAACGCGCCCCGCGCGGGATCGGGGTTCGCGCGGGGGCGCGGCTGCTCTCGCGTGTCCAGGCGGCATGCATTGTCGCGCCCTTCCATCATTGCGTTTGCGCTGCATTCGCGCGGCGCCGTGCCTCTCAAATCGGAATAAACTTTCGGAGCGCCGATGTATTACTATTATTCTTATCATTCTTATGATTAGTTTTCCTCCTCCTGGCACCTGGCACATGATGACATCCATGCCTCCTGACGCTGCCTGTCCTCCTGCTGCTGCTCCTGTTTCGCCTTCTCCGGGTACTGACAGCGCCCTACATTCCTCGCGACTTACATAGCCTACCTCGCGGTGTGCCTACCTCGCAGTGCGCTACACTGCGAGGTATGGCCCCGAAGGAAAGAGCAGAGGTGGCAGGGGCATGGTGCTGCAAGTGGTGCGTCGACAAGTGGTCTGGCACCAAGGTCGTCAACCACGCTCACTGGAAGAATTGCTGCAAGTGCGGGGTGGCCAAGGACAACGCGTACGGTAACATGCCTGGTACATCGATGGCGCCAAGTGTCTCTCGTCGTGCCGCACCCTGGCAAAAGGAGCGTTCAGCGATGCAGAAGCAGCTCGAGTTGCTTCAGAAGCGGCTCATGGAGTCAGTTTCTAAGTTGCAGCAAGCGCGGGCCGATGGCAGTACCGATAGCATGGCCGTGGACTCGTCAAGCGGGGACGGTAGCATCAAGGATCCGAAGCTGGAGACTCAGAGGCTCGCGAAGCGCATCGGAGTCAACCAGCGGTGTGGACGACGACGCCATCGAAGCCAGACACGAAAAAACGCTCGAAGAACACAAGAGCTGGAGGAGCCAAGACTTGGAGCAGAAGCCACTACGGGTACAGCTCTCCAGGATCCTCCTCCTCCTCCTTCTCCTCTTCCTCCTCCTCCTCCCTCCTCCTCCTCCTCCTCCTCCTCCTCCTCCTCCTCCTCCTCCTTCCGTCTCCTCCTCCTCCGTCTCCTCCTCCTCCGTCCCTCCTCCTCCTCCTCCTCCTCCTCCTCCTCCTGCTCCTCCTCCTCCTCCTCCTCCTCTTCCTCCTCCTCAAGGGGGTGCAGCACTGCCACGTACGTTTGCACCAGCGTGGGCTCATATTCAAGGAGAAGGTCGCGGAGCACGAGCAGAAGGCGAAGGAGCTTCAGAAGCAGCGCATCGCTGGAGCAGCAGTGGGTTCGTTTCCTGGGTGGTGCGTTACAGCCTCCTGGTGCTGGTCAAGAGAAGGGTAAGGAGGCGGGTTCAAGAGTGTCGTTGTCAAGCCTCATCGAGGATGTGGAGCTCACGGCCGAAACATTGGGTGGCATGGCACGTGGGCTGGGTGGATCGGCTGCTAAGACGGACCCCGTGGTGCTCAACTACAAGAAGAAGGGAGAAGGCAGAGCTGCGGCAGAGGCCCAGGTGGCAGCCGAAGCCAAGGCCGAGCGCGAGGCGGACGAGACAGCAGCAAGGTCGAGCGCTGGAGCAGCTGCAGCCGAACAAGAGCAGATGGCGTCGACACCTTCGAAAAAAAAAGGTTTTCGATGCCGAGTCTTGGAGTGAGCCTACTGCTGTGCTCGACGACGACGACGACAACGACGACGACGACGACGAGCTCAGAGAAACGGCAAAGACTATGCGGGTCAACCTCGGAGAGCTTCTCCCAGAAGGTCGGAGGCGAAAGGTGGTCTTTGGAACAGTTGCTAAGTGATGCTGGCCATATTCAGTGGTTATGCGATTGTGTTTAAGCGACGGTTGACATCATGAAGAAGAAAGAACAAACGATTACCACGCCTAATGTCACTGGCGCACCTGCAATGTATGAGTACATGGTGGGGTACGAGGCTTTGGTGCTGGATGTCCGGGAGCATCATGTGGTGGAGGCCAAGCTGGCGAAGGTGCTGCGTCAGACGGCTTTGGGGGGGTGGCCAGCTGGACCAGGTCAAGGCCAGGGATCCCCAGGCGGGGTTGCAGTGATGACGCCAAACAACGCGGAGGTGAAGCCGGCGGTGGGCGACTTCGCGAGAGAACAAAGACGAGCGGTTGCTGCCCCTGTACTCGGAGGCGTGCTGGGCGGGTTCTTGGCGGCACCAGCCTGCCTCCGCCATTGTGAACAGCTGTCGGAGGCTAACCTGGGAAGTCTGCGCACGGTGGCGGGGCATGTGTACGAGGCCGAGGAGAGAGGTATCCAGTGGATGGTAGTGGGGGGGTTCGATATGACGAGGGCTTTGCTTTGCGTGGATGGTTCGCCTTTCTTTGGTGGTGCTGTTGAGGAGCCGTCGAGCCCGACGCGTTTGGCCTCCCTTCCTGGGTGCACAGTCGACGTTTACAAAATACCGATGGCGTTGGCGACCAGAACGGGGGATCGAGTTCAAGCTGGTTGACACCTCCACTTCCCCACCTCCCAATCCCTACCAGTCCCACAGCCGCGGAGGATCTGTGGTGCTACGCACGGGAAGGCCAAGCCTGGGTTCGCTAGGCCGACGAATGGTTGGGAGCAACTGGCTGAGGAACTGGAAGGGGTTACGGCAGTGAGTGAGTTGACGCGGAAATGAAGCATCATGACGAGCGCGCTGATGGATGAGGTTCTGGGTCCCCACGACATCGCTGGCGCCAGGGAAGAGGAGCATGCAGCCCAACCTGGAGCCAAAAGGGATGAAGAAGAA